AATCCGATCTGAACGGTTAACAGTTATAAATCTAGTGAATGAGGATTAGGCTTTGGGGACAAGAGAACAGTGGTGCGTATTTAACGGCACATTTGTATTTTCAGGATCAGCTCCGACATTTTGCCAAAATTGCTTGTTCTCAAGGAGTGGATTTATGAAAATGGTAAAATAATGATTTTTGAGGTCCAAAACTACTATCATTATATCTCCAAATTTACTGAGTAATTATGCAATTTTATTTTCCGTAACCCGTGCAAATCTAAGGATACGTAACTACATGGTGAATATATTGTCTGAATTCAACCATGTACTTTTCAGACCGTATACCCAAAGACATAATGTCTTTTGGTATACCATGGTTTATGATTCCCAGTCGGGTTGTCACCATTGTCTACTTGTATTTTTGTTCATGTCCTGGTTCGTGCACGGGGTTCGTGATCACAACAGGGTGTCGATGTGACATCTTAAGGTACCGCCACTTTACTACGCGGCTGCCACTCGCCGACCCATTGAAATAAGCACTGTTACTGACACCGACATCTTCCACGAGTAAACGAGTCCGACACCACCGTTTCAAGTGATAATAATTATGTTTACACGAGGGGGACAACTCTTAATATCGCCCCACGGATGGTATTTTTTTCTACTTACTGGTCAGTACTTGTCTTCCGTTGTTGAGTATGCACACAGACAAACAACTGACGGTTTTTTGTTGTTGTTTTTTAAGTGGTGCAAGCCAACGTTGGGAATGTCAATTGAGTTCCGGCAGCAGTTGATATTATCAGTGAAAGTGATCCCTCCCCATGCCGTCCCAATTATTAGATTTCAACTGTCACCTTCAAAGACAGTGGAACTACGAAAAGCCATTTAAATTAAAAAAACAGTCACTGTTTAATCACAGACCCTCTGTTAGAGGGTCTATGGTTTAATCAATATTTCAAGACTGTTCCATGATTAATTTTTGAACGTTATATAGTTATCTTCAAGTGTTTGCGTTAAAATGGAGCACGTAATTGTCACAAATGTTGTCATCGTCACGTTGTGACAGAACGGCACTCGTGCTAACTTTCTCACGGAGCTATCATTGTCTTGGTTATTTTAGCACCCATTCCAAAGAAGTGTTTATATATTTTAATGAGAGTGGTTTCACTCGCACGTGAAGAACACTATTAGCTACGTCCAAATTGCCCCGATTTCAAGGTAATGTGACCAACTGATTTTCTTTGTGTATCATAATTTCACAAACCAATAATATGCATACGAAAAATGCACTTTGTAGTATAAATAGTAGTTAGCCAAGTCGTCTCACTATCTGCACCGCCTTTGCCCGGTGCCTGTGAGACGAAGTCACGCACCATTACCTGTTTTGCATTTCATACTATATATGATGTTTGTAATAAACACCCTGGATTCAACCAACGCCAACAAATGCTCCACTGATCAATTCTACACAGCCCCACAAAGCAATTTTTCAAATTTGTGACGTCATTCTGAATTTCTGCAAATAGCCGACCTTTTCATTTAAAATTGTGGTATGTCATTACATTCTTGTATGACACTAACGTATTTTTAGCAAATGTGATTTTGGTTATTGTCGATACAACTTTCTTTTTTCTGAATGAAAATTAGTCCACGGAACAGGATTGCGTTATACATAAAAAAAAACATTGTAAAAATGCGTTGTGTGTAATAACGACTGTCCCATCTTTTTTTTCCGGTGGTCAAGCACTGATGAATCAATCCCGTCATCCTACTTTAAATGAAAAAAACAAACAAGCAAGTATATAACGCATGACAATGTGCATTTCAGCTCAATAAAGTAAAGTAATTTAAAGTAATTTAAAGTAAAGTAAAGTAAAGTAAAGTAAAGTAAACAGAGGAAATAATAAATAAATTTCCAGAAAAAAAAACATCATAAGTCTAGTCAGTGCAACATTTTATTTCTGCTACTCTCATGTGTTTTGTGTACTCCCTCAAAAAAGGCTGTAATTTCTTTCCTTGTTATGGACAACTGTTAACCGTGGAAGGTACTACGTTAGTATTAGTACCTTCCATGTGTTAACCGTGTCAGGTTAAAAGCGTGTCAACGAACCTGGATATCGGCCCGAGAGAACAATACGGATCTGCAGGTCATTACGAGGAGAATTATAATAGCCACTGTGATGACGTAGTTGTACTTCCTCTATAATTACTGTGGTCATAAGCCATGGAGTATGATAGGACACTTTGCAAAAAGCAATGGCGTCATTGTCGTTGTTCATTTCGAACTCGCTCACTTCAACGTTTTATTATGGCGCGTAAACTGGGATGTTTATGCCATGGGTAGTTTCAGTCATGTATCGATGCTGAAATGGAAGAAGATCCGAACCTTAAAAATATTTTGTAGAATAGAAATAATTAGTTTTGACCTAGTTCACGTTCATTGAATGTATATAACCTTTTGCCGATTGCTGAAATAGAATATATTACCCACTGAACGTCATCGTTTTTTTAACTAAAACTATATATTATAGGATATACCGTGACAATCGCCCCTGCCTGTATTTTTTTTCCTATTAAAATTATTATGATCCGAATCTGACACTCGTAACAAAGTAGGCCGGGTGAAAGGGCATTTACGAACATATGCAAGTCGCAAACTGGCTGCCCAGTGAACGATTTACCAAGACCTTTATTTTCTTGTTTTACTCCAATTGACACAAAGAAATTGTAACAAGAGACACAGATACAAAATACACGAATACAAATTTTCATCATGTTGGGCATGACGATTTTTCTAATTCTAATGTCAAATTCCGTGTGAAATATGTAATTTCGTGTAAGTAAAGAAAGAAAGAGTCGATTTTTGTATGCGTTGTCTTTTACATATTGTAATTATTTGGGTAAAAAGCATAAAGGAGGGAAATACACTACTTCCCAGTGTTGATAATAGTTCGGCCATTGTATTATTCTGACAGCCATCGCGTTGACGTTCCGGCACTTCTCCAACACACTACTTCATTGAGCGGTGAACCTGACACAAACGGGCCAAGTTGATATTGCCACGGGCCCATGGAGTTATGAAAGCGAATACACACAAACACATACACACATCTTTACACATTCCTTAGCATTTTCGGGCCACTTCGTTGCATCCATCGAACCGGCGTCTTCACGCGTCACTTGAATTGACTGACCGTAAATATAACTAAACAGTGATATATTTGTACTTGCAGCATCCACACGGGCGAGAAAATTAACTCCTAGGGCCCATCGTATAGAATGTGTTTCAATGAACTTAAGACTTACCTGTGCTTTTGTCCGAAGTTCTAGATTACCGACCTCGTGTGATTTGTCATTGCTGAACCACCAAATAAAAAGAAATGTTAAATAATCATAAGACAATTAATGTAATAATACGTTTATTTATCCTGAAGTAAGAAGTAAGAAATACAATATTTGGTATGATACAATTCTATGTCACAGACAATGGATGGAAATGGCTACATCGTAGTTTGTTGTTTAAATTTAAGTCGATGTGAATGATGAGAATGTCTGTGACTTAAAATAAAAATAATTTATTGCGTTATTCGTCACTGCGTCACATTGCCAAAAAAAGTGCTAAATAATATTGAGACACTTTATCACAGGCTACAGTTTAATATGAGTTAATGCGAACGATGAGAAAGACCATGAACTTGAAACATGAAATGGTAATTGACAAATTATCACGGGAATATGATTCTGTCAGCAGAACATACTAATTTATGTATTTACGTGTTACCATCTTGTTGTATATTTCACTCGACAGCATAAAACGAACAAGTGGTCGTAAAAATTACTAGTCTGTCTGGAGTTTGTGACGTTTTAAAAGGTGTCAATGTGTGCCATATATGTGTGTACTTTATCGCCCAAAACCTGCCTTGAGTTGTCAAGAACTACCTAACGATTGTAGTTGAATTTAAAATTGCATAATTAACCTATAATGTATAAATATTAAATAAAAAAAACAATATTAAAAAAATTGATGGTGGATAAACGCGATTTAGTCAGGTTGGGCCATTAGAAACTCTGGGCGGGCGATGGCAGCAGAACTATGCATTTTTTCTGTACCTAGTTTTGTAATATTCTTCTTGTCCATATTGTAATCGCTGTCATCGTGACGGTAATTTGTTTGTTGCCTCTGTGTGTAATATTTTTTCCCCATGCAGATTTTTTTCCTGTGCGCATTTTTGTTTTAAACCTGCCATCGCCCAGAGTTTCTAGCGGCTAACCCCTAATCATCGTTTTGAATGTTTAATGCTATTTTATTTAATCAATGGAATAAACTTGCATCGCACATACTTTTGGAGGCGACGGTATTGTTTTTAATTTTTTTCTTTCCCGGTATTGTTACGATTTTGAATACTTTTGGCATTATTTGTATATACTTTTTACATGTCGAAGGCTACTGACTAACATCTAACGGATTTCGAATCGAAATTTATTTTTAGGCTAACTCGGTTTTATTCGTATTTATAGCCTAATTACGGAACCCCGTTTTGATATGATCACGTGTGTACTTGTCTCCATAGAAATAATCTGAATGACAACAGTATCACTTCACAGCTCGGAAAAAAAGATTTTAATGCGTATCCTCCGCGGAGAAATAAAGTAGTCCCAATAATTTTGTTCAAAGCATACGTATCATACTAATTTTGTGCAATTGAAATGTATTATTTTAAATGTGTTACATGCACGCGGGTCCCCCAATGATAAATTCTGGTATTTGTCGGACGTCTATTTTGTTTCTTTGGCATTTCAAGTTGTTTCACACATCCGCGGATGAATACCACAGTTCGTATATGCCGACATGTTGACTTCGCCTCCGTAAAAGGGCTGGGAAAAATATACGTGGGACGTTGTACATTGGGTGTTAATATCTAAAATATGATCTGCAGTTGTGACTTCCAACGTCGTTTAATGCACCTGTACTTGTCTGTTGTCACTTCCGAACACTTATTCTGATTTCTCCTCGGCAGGTGAGGCCTTCAAGCATTGGATTCGACGTGATTGAAGCCGACGCACGGTCCTCGATTTGTTTTGGATTTGGGTCGAGCGAGCTCACCACTTTGACAGTCGTATGTGTATGTGTACGATCCCGATTCTACGGCCGACCTCTGCGTAGCCTGAATATATTTTACGCCAGTTACCCACTCGTCTGCATAACCATCTGTCACCTGGTAGCTTGATCAATAACAGACACCGACGATGCTCGGGGACAGCGGAGTGCAACTTTCGTGATACAGGCTGCTTCGTTCTACTGTGTCTGTTGTCCGCCATTTGCAATACTGCAAATTGGACACAATCACGGCTGCGTTGAAAACAACCCCACTGCAAAGCTGGAAAAAATAATACAACGGTACCCGACTATTTACAGCATTTTAGGGTATAAGCGCCGTACGGCAACTATGGAAAGCAGATACGAAAGAGTTTGTAAAATCGGAGAGGGGTCATACGGCGTGGTGTTTAAATGCAAGAATAGGGAAACCGGACAAGTTGTTGCTATAAAACGATTCGTTGAAAATGAAGATGACCCCATTATTAAGAAAATAGCTCTCCGTGAAATACGAATGTTAAAGGTTTGTATATAATGTTACAGATTAAGTTAAAAACAATGTATCAATATTTAAGTAAGGTGGTGTAGGAGCAAGTGATTTTACTTGTACGCTATACTATTTTCTTGGTCATATAACCGGTAATTAAATTTCACGCTAAAAAAAAAGTATACCCACGTTAGTTAAACATGGTCGCCCAAAGAAACACATTATTTGTTTATGTGTACGTCCGTAGCACATACTGAATTATAACCATATTATTACTAAAATTAATTTATTCTAGTTCTTCTTCGTCTAATTGCCAGTCGTGCGTACAGTACTGTGTACTCATAGCGAAAACATTAATTGTTGGATGTGAACTCATGAAGTCATTTGTTGTCCCTTTCACAATATTGGCTTGAATGCACGTCCAGCCAGAATAGTAACTATTGAAATTCATTTTGACCATCTCATTTAATTAAGGAATCAATCAATCAATCATTTAAATGATCAATCAATCAAAGATCTGTATTCTTCACGACACGTATATATGTACTTATATTTTCAATTCTTATAGCTCATCTTCCTCCCTTAATTATTAACCAAACTCGGACCACCCCACCACAATTTACGACTGTGTTCACTATTGCCTCCATTATTGCGTCTTCGACTATACATTATCATCCAGTAAATTACTATACCCTTACGTCTCTTTTTTTTTTCAATTTAATGGGAAAACAAGTTTGAAACTGTTTAGAATAATAAAACCGCCACATAGAGAAAAAAAAAATGCCATCATACTATCGTAATACACCTTAAGTTTTTTTATGTTTGAATGCATCTTTAGTCAGCTTCGTTTTTTCACCACTTTTTTAGCAATTTTCTTTTCATTTCATGTTGTATAAAGTCGGAATAACACTTGTGGTTTTGATGGACAGACGTTGGGTGAAATGTTAGGATATGCTGTAAAATACTTTATTATTTTCGCTTGTAATTCATTTTCGCTGAAGTAATGATTCAGTGAAAATAACTCGCCAAAAATCAGTGAAAAATAAATTCCATGCAAAACACCCAAAAAGTCTTTTCAGCGAAAATTAATTCCAGCTAAAATAAAGTTTTTCATAGTAATAGGTGTAAACAACTCCTAGAGTAAGACAGCTGGAAAATGCATTATTTATCTTTAAAAATGTCACTTTCTAGCTATTTGCATTTTATTATAATAAATATGCGCCACACATCTCACCATTGCTCATTTGTTATGACAAGGGTGATTTTATCTTAATATTACATAGGTTAGATAATATGCCATTGCACATATTAGTAAAAATGTCTGATTGGAATTTAGTTGCTCTTGATCGTCATTTTTTACAGGCCTTAAACTTGCCTCACAATAATTCCTTATTTTCCGAACTCAATTTATTATATTAATATATTATTTGTGGGCGCGATGTCTAACTATCCCCGGTTTGTGTCAATGTTGTCTTTATGGTCCAAAACATTGTTTTTTTGTTGTTGATGGATTGCTGGTTTTAATAAAAGTCCAGTACTGTAGCGTTTTAGCTCTCTGCAGCTAGGCGTGGTGAAATTCATTTTAGTTCAGGCAGCTGTTTTTGTTACAAGTATTCCACTAATCACCACAACAAAACTCTCTCACATTTGTTTTATTCTGGATTGACTTGACTTGGCATGGGTTCCGTTACCATACTACCAACAAAATAAACTTGAAATCACACAGATAGACTGTGCATTAGTGTAGCAGTTTGCAAATTGTCTGTAAACTATGGTTCTAAAAACAGTCTTATTTTGAGGTGTTCCCCATAACAATGGAGGTGTCATTTCACAGTGATGAACTGAACTCCCCTCCACCCACCCACCCATTTGTGAGAGAGAGAGAGAGAAAAAGAATGAGTTTACAGAAGAAGAGGTTAGGAGATGGGATATGTTGCGTTTGTTTACTTTGTCTCTCTGTACAAATGAGTTGTATGGCTAGTACACTGGACCCCTCCCTGTTCAATAAATACGTCTTGTACTTGTACTACCGTACATGTACTTGTACTCATAGTCTTGCCGTTTTGATAATACCGATTCTTATTTTAGGCTTATTCATTTTGTTGGCGAGTGCCGAAACTTCATTGGCAAGCGGTTGTTTATGGAGTGTGGGTGGTGTAACTGTTTTTTTACTTTCGAACAGCAGGAGTAACAAAAGCCACTGAAGTGTTATGGCAAGGTCACTTTTCGTGTCATATTCGATTATCCAGTCTACCCAGTCGGACCTTTTGAAGACAAACAAGGTCTTGAATCCACATGCAAACACGTTGTTGATGGCCCTTGTCAGATATGTAATGGTAACTTTGGACTGTCCCTGATTATGTTGTCCATTTCTTCATTTCTTGAGGCTATCCTTCAGTCGCCATATACTTAATATTGACGCTTTTGGCAGGATATTTTTACAAACGTGACGAAAATACTAATACTAATGCAAAAAATAGATTACTACGTTATACAGACTCTCTGTTATAATAGGGTCAGCACAGTGGTGTTTAAAGTCTACATCATTGGCCTTGTCGCCTCTGACAACAATGAAGTGCATTGTATGGACAAAATATTTGTATGTATCTAGCCCCCTGAACTTTATTTGTCACTCATTTCTATCAAGGTCGCTAGGCAAATATGTAGATGCCTGCTTTTCATTGTGGTTTCAGGCAAATTGTACGAAGGCTTCCATTTCCTGTTGTACTTCAAGAGCGACTTTCTTGTTCGTAAATAGTTCAACGTGAAAATAATAATCCCCCTCCCCTTCAGGACATAAATACTATTGGATGTTTGCAGTCTAATGTCATTTTTAAGGGGATTATGTTTATTTTTATTCAGAATCGATTCTACAAAGCTATTTTCATCCGAAAAACGAGCAGTATTATTGTAACTCAAGATTTAAGGTTAACAGTGTCACTGTTATCATTTTTGACTATAATCTGAACTAGTTTTATCTGATAACAACATGATATAGGACTACGATGTTTGCAATTTCAACTGATTTACGTGTGTCTCTCGATTCTGTTAGCATGGCAACCGTGATTCCCAACGTTGTTACTTGTGCTAACATGTGTTACTACAGCGTTGTAAATCCTACCTTATCTATAGAATTGGAGGGGGTATATATACCTCCCTCAAGCCTCCTTAGCACTTCTTGTGGAATAAACCTTTTGCCTTGTAAATTTCAAGTGGGCCTTCCGCAAAACTCATCTTGTAGTGTATTCTGATACTTACTTGAACATTAGAGAACATTAGGGATTACACTGATTTTATTTTTCTCCGTGAAACATTTATTTCTTTGCATAGTGATAAAACTATTTTATTCTCACTTTTTCTTGTATCGGTATCAATATTTAAGCGATACTGTTCAACAATTAAAATTTTTTTACAGGAAATTACAAGTTTTCTTGCCAACACTTTATTTCAATATTTTTTTTTCAGACCAGATAGTACAGTCCGGTTTTCATTAAATTTGTCTAAATGATAACGAACAAAATTATGCTTTTTAGCTCAATGGGTTAATTGCTTAAACAAATGCTAAAATATAAATACATGTGGCATTACTATTATTAGACTATTATCTATTTAAAATGATTAAAAATAAAATTACAAATAACGTATCATAGTGAGAACGCGGCCAACCTTGATTAAGTTGCTGTGGAACTAAAAACTGTTTTTTCTCTATTTTCCATTGATTGATGTCTGTTTCTTCGTATTTCACGACATATTTTCATACAGTCACAGAGACAAAATGGAAATGACATATTTTATGA